CATAAGTTATAAAATTAAAACTTATTCATATCGTATTTTATCTTGTTTACAAACATTAACAAAATAATCTTACAATATAATAAAAATTAAAATTTTTTCTTTATATTAAAATTTATAAGTTTATTAAAAAATAATTTTTTTATATCAAAATAAAGTTTATTGATTATAATTTTAATATATACTTTTTCAGATTTTTAAATTTTTTCTGAAAGTATTATTCTAATAATAGTTATTACAAAAATTTTTACTAATTAAAAATAAAATTTAATTAATAAAAATTTTTATATTAATATTATAATTAGAATAAACTTTCAAAAAAATCTAAAAAATCTGAATAAAATATATATTAAATTATAATTAATAAACTTTATCTTAAAAAAAAATAAAAATTATTTCTTAATAAAATTATAAATTTTAATATAGAGAGAAAATATCAATTTTCATTATATTTTATTAATAAATTTAGCTCCTGATATATTATTTTAATTATTATTATAACTTTCTATTATATAATACTTAGTAGTTATTATATTATATATGTTATTTTGAAATACTTATAAATTATATTTTAAAATTATTCATATTAATTTTAAAATATATAATTATTATATTAATATTTATAAATATTATTTATAAAAATAAAATAATTCTAGTAAAAGCAAAATTTTATTTTTTATTAGGAAAATTTTTTGTTTTTTAATTTGAAAATTTTTATTTTTTATTTTAAAATTTTTAGAATTTACTAGTACTATTATAAATATTTAATAAAATATTTCTGAAATATTATAAGATTTATTTTTTTATTAAATTTTTCTTAAATAATTCTTATAATATTTCTAATAATTTGAAAATTTTTTAATACTTTTTAATAAGATATTTCTAATAATACTCAAAATATCTTTTTTAAATTAATTCTAATAATTTTTTGATGAATTATTTTGAAAATAATTGCAAAATTATAATTTATTAAAAAGTTTATATTAAAAAAATATAAATTAATATAATGATTTAAATATATAAAATATTATTATTAAGTAAATATTTATTATTATCTTATTAAATAGAATTATATTAAATTAAAGTATTAATTAAAATTCTGATAGATTAAAATTAATTCTGAAAATAATTCTAATAAATTTTTCTTGATAAATAAAATTTATTTTATTAATAGTATTAATTATATTAATTTGTTAATATATGATTATATTTCTTTCTCTCTTTTCTTATATTATCTTCTTTTGTATATAGTATATAATAATATTTTATGCTAAAAAAAATAATCAATCTTTATTATTATATTTATTTGAACTATATATTAATAGTGAAATTTTATAAATATATATAATATATATTATTAGTAAAATTTTTATATATGAAGATTAAAGGCAAAATAATTATTTATAATATTAAAATTAAGAATAATCAAATATATAATTCATAACTAGAATCAAGTTAAATATATAAATCTCTATATAAATCAAAATTTCATAATATTGAATATCTATTATAATTACTTATTTAATTATATAATTTTGTAAAAATATTCTGAATTCAAATTTAATATATATTATTCTTATCAAGAAATTATTTGAATAATTCGTAAATTAAATTTTAAATAATCCAAATTTGGTTTTTTTGAATGCTTCAAAATTTTATTGATTTTTAATTTTCAAGAGATATCAAGTAATATTTATTTTTGGAAAGAAATAACTAAACCAATTCCAGAAATTTCTAGAAATATTCAAAAAAATAAATTAAAGATTTATTCCAGAAATATTAAAAAAATGTCACATTTGAATTATCTGAAAGCTTCCAGAAATATTCTTCGATTTTTGATAATAAGACCAAATTCTGGGAATATTAACAAGAAAAACGCCGGGATGAAATCGGAATTCAATATTTTTACAGGGTTATTCTGATCATATTACGCGGAACGCTAAAAACTTTTTTGAATTAGTTAATAAAATGATTAATGATTGTTACTCCGATTAACTTGTCGTCGATGATTCCTCCGTCATGAAATATTCGTATTTTTTGCGTTCTGTGAGCTACCGCAATTACTAATTCGAATCCGCATCGAATCGAAACTGATTTGACATGGGATCACATGTTTTGATGATTAAAAATTTCGATTTTTTATATTATCTTTAAGCATTGAAGGGAGGTTTCATTTTTATAAATAAAAAACTCATAAAGTTGACGGTTTTTCAGATTACAGTAGTGTGTTATATAAATTCGTAGCCTTTTTAATTACATATGTATTAGTTGTAATTGTGTAACGATAAATTCTTCACACATGTATCAATATGTAAATGTACTTTATGCCATATACATAACAAAACGTCAGATAGGTTCACTTTGCTCTCCCCTTTCTTCATCCCTTTCTTCAGGCTTGTGGCACGTACTTTCGGTGATTTCTCTGACCTCTTGCTCGACTGGAGGAGTGCCTTTTTCAGCAGAAGCTAAAAGAAAAATATAGTATTTTTTTTCCAATTAACATAATCGAACTTAAAGATCTTTAAATTGCCAGAGATAACAACCTTTAAGTTTCGCTGCTGTGATTTCAGCTTGTCCATCGATGATTTTTTGCTCACCCTTGATTTTCAGACCCTCATTGTTAATTAGTTTACCGCTAATTAATGGTAAATAAGAATGACAATAAATGCGATAAAAGGTTGTAAAGACGAGCAGTGTGTGATAGTATTATCCAAAATAAAAAAGGACATACACAGTCTTTTCAACGGTTCCTTGAGCCTTTTCTAATGTTCCATGGAGTTTGCTGGGCTCTTTTTTAGACGATGACATTTCAATTATATTAAATAAGATTCGAGTTAATTGTATCAGTATTTATTATGTATTAAATTTAGCGTTAAAAAGGAAAATATTCGTTATTTAGTACTTTTTTTTTAATCTATCAATTTTTTCAATGTGTGTGATTTATTACAAATAGCTGACTAATATACAATCCGAAAAATTCGTACGATATATCATTTGGCGCATCTAAACCTCAGCGCCATCGCACCGCCACACTATGTAATTAATATGACGTTATGTAGACTAGGTCAAGAATTGAAACGTTATTAACTTACAATAGAAAGCACGGAATGTAATGGTGGTTTCCGAATTAGTTTTTAAAGGCAACTACACAAAAGAAATTATCTCTAGAACGTCTCTAAGTTAGGACATCATACTCTAACAAATCAAAACATGATAAATTTTCCTTCCATCTCAATTTGACATGCTAAAAATCATAAGAATTATTACCAATAATGTTGTTTCAATTTTCTTCTCACAATTTTAATTTTGTAAACTAATAAAATATTGTTTCTAATACAATTCTTCACGTTGAACATTTTTTGCTAATGGGTAAAGACTCGTTGACTTAATAAAATGCTTTCATGATCCTAGAAATGTCATGCATTTTTCACGCAAGTTTTTTTAAGGGAGGCATGGTAAATTTTTTCCACAATTATTTTCCGTACGGATTGTATACTTGAAATTCGTGCTCATCTCATTCGGACAGCAATTCGAATGCGGAGCCTTAGACCAATTGGCCAAGTCATCATAATAAATAAATATTTTTAATTGTCAAATTGCAGCTATTTAAATATTTGTTCACGACACGTTAGGATTGGTAATTTTCACCTTAACATTTTTAGAATTTTGGAAATCAGGCATTTACATGTATACCAAAGAAATTTTTGACCTAATATATTAACATAATTGAAAACACTATTTTTCAATACCATACGATGAGAATTTGTAAATGTTTATAAAAAATCCATAGTTCTTTGACATATTCACTGAATTCTTAATTAACTAATCGTTTCAATTTCAAATCTATAAACTCAACATAGAATCATAATTTACAAAATTCCGCCTGTACTTTACTTTGTTCTTTGTGGCAAAGTTACTTTGTAAAGATTTTTATAAAATTTTAAGACTTCTCGTACCGTATCAAATTTATTTCCGCAATTCCTGTGTGCCATACATGGTGAGCTTAATTGTCGGTCATTATTTCAATGGAACAATCTCAGATATTTTCTCTTACAAAATATTTTATTTCAATGCATGGATATGTAAATACATGTATTCAAAGGAATTTTATCGATAAAACGAGTTTTTATTTGGTAATATGTCCGTTTACCTGTTTCACAAATTGGTGATACTAAAAAGGCATGTCACACTTGTAACGATAACGATAATCGTTTATTTACATGCAAATGCCCCGACACTTGTGCGTGTTCTATCTTAAATGAATCAAAAAATAAATTTCACAAATTTCGACCAAATCATTCTCAAGAAAATATGCAAAAATATCGCAACTTGCAGTAGCGATTCAAGTTCGCTGTTTTCTTGTCTACTTGTCAATCGTCGATGGTATAAATCTGCTATCCCATTCATTTGGAAAGACCCATGTAAAATATTAGCAAGCAAAATAATAAATAATCATGAGAATTATAGAAATTCGGCTTTTTGTTTGGTCTCGACCATTCTCAAGTGCATTTCACTTGACTCAAAGCGGACATTACGAAAGGAAGGAATTTTAATTGAGCATTATGATGGCATGAGTCCGCCCGTTTCAGATTATCCAGCATTTTTAGAGATTTTATCTCCTAATATACTATGTAAATGCATCACCATTTGGATGAATGAAAGCCAGCAGCAACAGTTTAACGACAAGAGAAGCTTACAATATAAAGAGCATATTCTACAGCAAGAAATTTTTAGATTCCTCATAAATAAAAGACCATTAATTCGTACGTTAAATTTGTCGACGCAACACATCGAGTCTAACAATATGCTAGAATGTAATGTGATCCCGACTGAATTACTACCTTACCTTTCAAATTCTTTCGAATGGTTAGCTAAATTACGTAAATTCAAGTATAACATGTCCAATAATAATAATCCACCAGATATATTTTTCTATGCATTTTCTCAACATGCGACCAACCTCGAATCGATTAAAATATGGATAGAGGGCGATAATAATAGAGGAGATCAAGGAATAGCAGCATTATTTGAAACTCAAAAAAATTTGAAAAAATTAAAATTACATTCCCGGAGACGAATTTGCTTTCACTTAGACAATGCATTATATAAAGTAGCAAGCACAATAAAAGAATTGACATTGAACCATTCACTATGCGTCTCTCCGATGCCAATAAAAGATTTTATCGGATTGGAATCATTGATGGTAAATTTATCTAATGAACAAGAAACGAGCTCATATTCCGCCGAATTATTTTTTTCCAATTTGTCATCGGCCTATTTTAAGGATCTCAAAACATTGAATATTAAGGTGGTTCAGAAAATTCGATTGGCCAACATCACTTCTTTTATCCAACTTAACGGACGATACCTCCGAGAATTTACTCTTGATTGTCAACCAATGGATGCAGATTCTACAACAAATTTAGTTGAAGCAATTAGAAACAATTGTAAATATTTAAAAAAAATGGAAATTTCTCTTTATGAAAATGATGAATTTCAAATGAAGCAACTTTTATCAATGAAGCACGGTTCAAAAGCTTAATTATTGCAGAAATAAATTTTAAAATATATTAGGGTTATATGACTTTTCCAATAAAATTATTAATTATAATTATTTCTGCAAACTAGCATACTTTAGAATTTAGATTATTAGAAAATAAAAATTATATTGTATAGAAATAAAATGTGATTTGTTAAAATAAAACAATAAATATTCAATTTAATAAATTTGATAGATTAAATTCTTTAAAATTTAATATTTTTATAAAGAATTTAGCAAGCATTATTGCTTTTTAACAAAGAATAAAGATTATATATATTTAATTTATATAAATATATGTATAGTCTGGTGCAAAAAGATCAATATATCAATATAAAATTAATAATTGCTTCTAATAAAAATCATTTAAATTTTAACTAATCTTTATAATTTTTTTATATTAAATAAAGAATAGTCTAAATTAACTTTTTATACTATTTTAATTATTTTATTATA